AAAGAAAATGCATAATTAGGGATGCTGGAATCATTAAGCAAACTGTGAGCAGTTCTAGGATTAAAAACAATCTTGTATTTATGTGTGGTTGGCTTATAAGGATCTTTATTCAAAGAAACACAAAAATTCGAAATTGTATAAACTCCTCCTTCAGTAAAAGCATCCTTAAAACGCAAAGAAGCCCTAAGAGTTGCTTGAATCCTCCCCCCCTAAACAAAACATAAAAAATTGTTAGAAGAGATGTGAAAAGCAAACTTTAGAATACTTATTGAAAACCAAATTCAAGAACACAAAATTCTGACCTGTTCATCCAAAAGGAGCATTTCAATATTATCACCCAGTTTTGACTATCGAAAATTTTTTTGCTTCCAAAGTTGAATTACTCTAACCTTTATCCTCCATTGCTCTTTAGAAGGATTAAGATCCTTAATAAAATCAAACATATTAGCCATCTATATGTTCTCTCTCTGATACTTGAAAAAAAAAAAAGGACTAGTATAACATTATATATGCATGGAGAATAGACCCTTCAAATGACTAATATTTATTGAACATATTATAAAAAAAATTAAAAAAATAAAGTCCACAGAATTAAAAATAGAAATTAAAATCAGCAGATGAAGGTAAACTTTCAATGCATTGGAAATATAAAACAATAAATAGTGGAATATATCATATTAAAGATTGAAATGCAATGGACTATAAATAGACTACATAAAAAAATTCAATAATAAATATGAATATTTTGAATTTCGAATTTAATAAATAAATAACAAAAAAACTCATCACCTAATGGTCAATAGATCATTGAAATGACTAATATTTATTAGACAGATTATTAAAAAAAATTGAAAAAATAAAGTCCATGAAATTAGAAATAAAAATTAAAATCAGCAGATGAATGTAAATTTCAATGCATTGGAAATATAAAACAATAAATAGTGGAATATATCATATTTAAAATTAGAATGCAATAGACTATAAATAGACTACATAAAAAAATTCAATAATAAATATGAATATTTTGAATTTCAAATTTAATAAATAAATAACAAAAATACACATCACCTAATGGTTAATAAACCCTTCAAATGACTAATATTTATTGGACAGATTATCAAAAAAAATTGAAAAAATAAAGTCCACAGAATTAAAAATTAAAATTAAAATCAGCAGATGAATGTAAATTTTCAATGCATTGGAAATATAAAACAATAAATAGTGGAATGCATCATATTAAAGATTGGAATGCAATAGACTATAAATAGACGACATAAAAAATTTCAATAATAAATATAAATATTTCAAATTTAATAAATAAGTAAAAAAAAAAAAAAACCCATTACCTAATGGTTAAAAATAATTTTTTCATGCACTACAAATTTATCATTTTAATAAAATTAAACCTCTTAACCATTAAAATCTGTATTCTTTTGGTCATACCAAAAAAATAGAGACTGGTATAACATTATATGCATGCAAAAGAGACTCCTCAAATGACCAATATTTATTGGACAAATTATCAACTAAAGAATTGAAAAAATAAAGTCTGCAAAATTAGAAATAGAAATTAAAATCAACAGATGAATGTAAATTTTCAATGCATTGGAAATATAAAACAATAAATAATGGAATGCATCAAATTAAATACTAAAATGCAACAGATTATAAATAAGCTATATCGAAAAAATTAAATAATAAATATGAATATTTCGAATTTAATAAATAAGTAAAAAAAAAAAAACCATCACCTGATGGTTAAAAATAATTTTTTCATGCACCACATTTATCATTTTAAATGAACAATGAAGAAAAGAGCATCCAAGCCGATGCCAGATAATGCACAGTCAAACAGATACAACTAAAACAACAATATAGTCAAAAGGCCAGCATACTTTGGGAAACCAAGACATGATATAAGTAATACATACACATCGAATTCAACTCATAAGATCAATAAAACAGAAAACCCACAAGATGGAAAAAACTTACTTTTGAGAAAAGAATGGATTAGCCAAAGAAAGTTCACTTTTTTTTCTATCTCAAGAATAGCATCCACAATATTACCGAGTCTAAAGGAATTGGGTACACCTAAAGTGAATGCCCTCCGTTTACCTTTCCCCTATACTTCAAGTATGCAATAAGGTTACAGCCAAATCCCCCACCTCTCCACCAAAATAAATAAATAAATCCTAACGGATTGTTCTTCTTCATCTTACTACTTCTTTCAACTGTTCCCTAGTCAATTCTTTGAAAAAAAAACTAAATTGAAGTCACTAAATTGGATAGATTCAATCACTTACCTAATAAGAAACAAAGCAGTGAACCAAAAAAAGGCATAA